GTTTCTGTTTGTATAAAATACTCGATGTTTTCACTCTTCTATTTAATTATTTTTTCTGGCGTTAAGAAAATATAGGAACACTTCCTATTGTACACAAACAAATAAAAACCGTTCTCGCGCAAGTGCAATGAGTTGTGGACAATGCAAACAGACTAATTATTTGATTATGAAAAGAAAAATTCACTAAGAAAAGAAAAAAGCAAACCAAAAATGTATATAAATGCTGAGTTGTGGGCATTACCTCAGCATATATTGCCGGCTTTAATAACACCATTACAACAGGTATATGATGATGTAGAGTAGCCCTGACTACCGCAGCATGCATTACCAGCTTTGATAACACCATTACAACAGGTATATGATGATGTAGAGTAGCCTTGAGAACCACAGCATGCATTTCCGGCTACAATAACACCATTACAACAGGTATATGATGATGTAGAGTAGCCCCGACTACCGCAGCATGCATTACCAGCTTTGATAACACCATTACAACAGGTATATGAAGATGTAGAGTAGCCTTGAGAACCACAGCATGCATTGCCGGCTACAATAACATCATTACAACAGGTATAAGATAATGTGGAGTAGCCCTGACTACCGCAGCATGCATTACCAGCTTTGATAACACCCTTACAACAGGTATATGATGATGTAGAATAGCCCTGACTATCGCAGCATGCATTACCAGCTTTGATAACACCATTACAACAGGTATATGAAGAATTAGAGTAGCCTTGAGAACCACAGCATGCATTGCCGGCTACAATAACACCCTTACAACAGGTATATGATGATGTAGAGTAGCCCTGACCATCGCAGCATGCATTACCAGCTTTGATAACATCCTTACAACAGGTATATGATGCTGTAGAGTAGCCTTGAGAACCACAGCATGCATTGCCGGCTACAATAACACCATTACAACAGGTATTTGATGATACGTAGTACCCTTGACTACCACAGCATGCATTACCGGCTACAATAATACCATTACATGTTAATGCTTCATAAAATTGTAATTTTGTTAATAATAAAAGAAAAACTTCAAATAATATTACTTGAAAATTCATGATTTTATTCTTTAATATTTTTATTGAGTTAATATTACGAATGGCTATACATTGATCAGAATTGGCTCTTATATATATTCATTTTTTTTTCTATAGATTATTGATGGTCACGCATCATCGACTATTAACCCATACAGATGTGTAGAAAAAATAATAAGAAAAAAAGAAAAAGCATGTTTTTTATTTGCTTATTCTCTGGAATGAATCCTAAGTAACTCGTGGCGCATCAAAAACGAGATAAAATGTTTTCTTTTTTTAGAAGAATAACAAGAAAAAAGGAGAAAGGAAAGAAATAACAACGAGAAAAGTAAATGATGAAAAAAAATGAATAGAGCGTGACCTCTCGAATTTTGATCTTTTTCAAGCGATTTTGAAGAATGGTATCTAGGTGAGATAGGTTAAAGATAGATTAAAGAAAAATTATATGAATAATTTCTTAAAAGTTGTTGTTGAATTTCAATAGAAAAAGAAAAATTATATAAATAAATGTATAAATAAGAAATAATTAAAGCGATAAAGAATAATTTTACAGCTAATTGTAGGATGATTTTTAATCAATAAAGGATCATTTTACAAATAATTAAAAAGTAATTTTTTAAATGAAGAGTGGTTATATAAATACGGAAAATAAAGAATAATTCTCTCTACTGAAAAGAGGGTCATATGCAGGGTGAACTATCTTCGTTCTTCGGGAGTACGCACGTGCGTTCGTTGGCTCGTTCGTTCGTACGTACATTCGTTCGTCTGCTACAGAACAAAACAAATTGCTGTGGCCTTTATGGAGATAGATTCTTAAACAAAATCTAACGAGAAGCACTTACAGATTAAGTACGTTTAAGACTCACAATTGCACGAATCACATGTTTCATGATATAGCACATGTTCAATGAGGTTTTCGGGGCTGGAAATTCAGCCAATTAGGTGTTTTCTGGATTCTACTTTTGAGGAAGCAGATTTTTCAAGCGTGATTGGCTGCCAGTCTAAAAATTCGTTCGTCTAAGTCTTCCACTGTAAGATTAGGCTGCAGAAATGTTCGTATTGGTAGAGATGGGCGATTCCACATCGGAATCGGAATCGGAATCGAAATCGAAATCGCCGATTTCGATTTCGATACCGATTTCAATTCACTTGAAATCTCCCGATTCCGATACGATTCTGAAAATTAAAAACCCGATTCCGATACGATTCCGATTTCAAGTTACTAGAAAACTGGAATCGGGAGCATTTTCATAAAAAGCAGTAACATATTTTTTTTTCTCTTCTAATAAATGATTAAATTAGTCGTTCAGATATTTATTTAAACAATATTTGAAAAAAAAGAAAATTACTAGTTCTTTTCAAAAAAAAACAATACATTTCAATACAAGGATAGATATGTATCTATTTACAATTACTTTTTTAGTCACACTTCCAAAAAAGAAACGCTAAAAAAAATAGACATCATCATTGTTTGCTTCATCAGTTTGTTCTTCAATAGTATTGTTTTTCTGATGATCCGAAAGATAATTTGAACGTTCATTTATTGTTAATTCATCATAAGATCCCGATGCTGTTGTATTTGTTTCAGGTGATGTTGAATTTGTAATAAATTTTAAAACCAAATGATTTTTTTTCAAAAACATCAATTTATCTAATTTATCGGCACTTAAACTTGTACGTGATTCAGTAGCAGCTTCACCACTTGCTGAGAATAAATGTTCTACACACGTATTAGTTGCTGGTATAACTAAAATAGGGGTGTGGGTGTGAATTTTGACCTATCATATGGTTATGCCCACACACCCCACCCACGCCCTACACACCCCACACCCACACCCACGCCCTACAC